GGTTTACACAAATGAGGGCGGTTTTCATATGATCACTCCTATATATATATATATATATATATATATATATAAATTTAAATAAACATATAATATTCAAGACTTGTCGATCCCAGGTGTGAACGAACCAAAAATGGATGTCTGGAAGACCGTGTTCGTTGTTTGTTTATCGACATATATAGACATCCCAACTTTACCATATCTCTGAATTATTTAGTATGATTTCATGAAAATATGTATTGAGTGTTAATCACATTAAACACATAACAGGATTTAATCACATGATCTCAATTGAAAACGTAAACTTAAAACTTACTTGGAAAGCCAATCTTGATAGGATTGTTCATTGACGAAGAAGACACCATTATCACGATATGACTTCGAAATCTTATTCTCGTTATTATGCCTTCTTCTTGATGGATAGATTTAGAGGATAAAATTATAGTGTTTTGGGAGAGAGAGAGTTTTTGATCTCTCCTTGAATATCCCCTGTACGTGAGAAAGCATTAAAGAGAAAAAATAACTTTACCATCTTATTTATATGCAGTTACTTCCATCAAGTAACTAATTATGGCATGATGGTATAATTAAGGGTATAAACCATAAATATTTTTATTTACCACAATTTATAACATAAATGGTCCTAAGGCCACATAAAATAGAAAATATTCCAACATTGAGATGTTATTTATATTTATTTAAAAATCTAGAATTATAAATTTTGCAACAAATAATAAAGGGTAAATAAAATCGGAAACAAACTGAAGTTTTATGATTGCACCAAAAAAAAGATGAAGTGCCAAATGATATCGACACGCTCCATAATAAGAATAATGAATGAAAATGTTGGAAAAGTGTAAGATTCCATATTGGTTGGGGAGGAAAATAAAGGTTACAGACTTGACACTTTCTCTATCAGATGTGACTTAAGAACCGTGAGTTTAGATGTATAGACAAAGTTGACAATATCTGGTATGGTTGGCTGAGATGTTATAAATGGTATTGGAGTTAGGTTTTGGACAGGCGTGCCAGTGAGGATGTTGGGCTCCAGAGGGGATGGATTCATATTGGTTGAGGAGGGAAACAAGGTTGTCTTATAAGGGACTTGATATCTTCTCTACCAGATGCATTTTAAAACTATGAGTCCTAGTGTGTGCACAAAGCAGACAATATTTGGTAAGGTTGACGTCTATCTCATTAGCCAATGTCTTATTATATATACCAAATATGACTAATTTATCAACTAGTTTTTTATATATACCAAATATGACTAATTTATCAGCTAACAACTATCTCATTAGCCAATGTCTCTATACTATATTATAAAACATTTGACAAAAACTCTTAGAACCCACTTTTTATGCGTAAAGTACTGTTTATTAATGCATATTACTTAAAACTCAATATTGCACGTAAGTACAACTTATTAAAGTTCCATACATGAATTCGTGTAACTAATTGCAGATAAACATAATCAAACACAAGATAAACATCTCATTTTAAATATAAAAAATCTAAAATATAATTAGGATAATTATTGAGTTCTAACAAAATAATTAATTATTATCTGTATAAAATGTTAAATTATTAAACTTAAATTAAATTATAATAAATAAATAAATTACATAAATTACATAAAAATGAGAACTTTTAAATAGTTGATTTGATATTAACAAAGATATATATTTTTTTCAATTTTTTATGATATCTTCAAATTTATATTTTATTCAAAAATAAAATCATTATTGTTTTCTTAACAACACATAAAATCATATTATAAAACTGACAGACAAATAATAAAATAGAACATTAAAAAAATGATGATATGTCTCGCTGCATTGCGCGAGTACTCTTCTAGCTAGTTTATCTAAATGACCAAACCACCCCACACTGTTCCACAGTCTAAAACTATTACCGTGTGACTTGCAGTTTGTATTCTTAACCGTATTTCGCTATTTTGAATCATCAAACTACGATTCAAACTGCATCCCGTATTATTATTTATTTTTGTTAATATATACACCATCATTAACTAATTTATAATATTCAATATTTTATTTATTATTTATTATTTTTTAAATTTTAAGTTTTCTTTTTAATATATTTGTTTCGAATTTTTGAAGTCATCATTTTATAATTATCGGATTCAAATACGTTAGATATCAACCGCACATCTGTTATGGTTTTCTACAAATCAAAACATCTGCAGTGTAGTTTGTGGTTTCATCCAAAACCATTCCAAACAACACCACAAACACAAATAGGTTAACAGATAAAAATCTGCTGTCCTAAAATCACACTTCTTTATCACTGGCCACCAATGAAATTAAAACACATGTTTTTTATATACCCTAAATTTATCTAATTGAAATTCACATTCTTTATCCAGTAACATGTATTTATGTAAGTGGTAGACAAAAATAAGACGTAATCACCCACATGTATTTTAATTATTACTAGAAGGATACTCGTGCAATGCATCGAGACATATTTCGATTTCAATGTTTCATTTTTTTTTATCTATGTCGATATAATACGATTTTATGTGATTTTGAGAACGATAATGTTTTTATTTCTAAAATAAAATATAGATTTGAAAATATCATATAAAATTTACAAAAAAAAATTACTATTAATATGAAATTAACTACTTAAAAGTTCTTATTTGTGTATTTTTTTTTAATTCAAATTTTTTATTATAT